GATGCGGGGCTTGATCCCAGGACACTGGGATCATGACCTGAGCTGAAGGCAGTCGCTTAACCAACTGAGCCACCCAGGCGCCCAATAAAGCAATCTTTAAAAAATAATTTAAAAAATAGAGTTAAAGAACATTCACAGATGATAGTGATGAAAGAATCCTGTGCCAACAAAGCTTACATTTTGATACATGAAAAAAAACTGCAAATATGCAAAAATTCAGAGAGTGTATTTTCTCAGGCACCCCAATTAAGAAAAATAATTGAGGAAAGGTTCTAACTAAGAAAAAATAAACCAGAAAAAGAGATGTGGTAACAGGGAAGATGAAAAAAAAGAGTAATATTGTAATCAATGAAACTTTCAGTTTATATTATATAATACACATTTAAATAATAACCAAATGTCTAGGAATGTATAACTTATATGATAAAGACTCTTGAAACAAAAAGATTATATCATATAAACATTTTAATAAATTTCTAAACTATTCAAAGTAAAAGAGTTGTAGACAGGTGAGATGAAGGTAGGCAGAAGTAAAAATACTTCCAAGATCTCATGAGGAAGAAGAGGATAAGGGGAAAAAGAAAGAGAGGCAGAAAATAAAAGTATTCTAAAGGTCTCATCTTTTCAAGGTCAAGAAGCCACCAGGGCAAGCAATGAGCATCTTTTGAGGGAAAAGAGTTTTTGTTTTCAGGTAACTGCAAAGAAGCATGTATCAGTCAAGGTATAATTTTAAGGTCAAAAGTACTTAGCAGGATAAAGAAAAATATTATACAATTATAAAATACACAACTTATGACTAAAATGTAAGAGTTAAAAAACTGTATATACCAAACATAGGTAATAAAGTAAAACTTATTAGGACTTTAATAAATTTATTTTTAAAAATACAAATATACTGAGTAATTTCAGTATACCTTTTAGAATGGACAAATACAGTTGGAAAGAAGAAAACACAAATTTAATTATATTATCAATAAATATGATTTTTAAAAGATACCTTGTAACCCTCTAACAAAAAAGATATTTTTTCCTATGTTCATTACCATAACTGATCATAAACATGGTCATAATGAAAGTTTTAACTAATTTCAGAGATAGATAACTCAAAAATTCAGAAAATATTTACAATTTCTTTCCTTAAAAACGATGAGATGACAAAAAATAGAATAAAAATAATTAAAACCCATGTGATCCAGCAAAATTTATATTTGCAAGTAAATTTATGGCTTTAACAATTTTAATTTTTCTAAAAGGCAAGGGAGAAAAACACTGTAAAAAAGAAATGAAAAAAGAAACAAAATATATCAAAATAAGCTAAGGAGAAGAAACTAAG